GACTGCCGACCATATCGCATAACCACTCGAGTATCTTGTATCTGGCCGTTAACACTCTGTTCGACATTATTAAATTAGAAGCATCCACAATGAGCAGAAGTAAAAGAATGAGCAGAAGTAGAAGTCTTTTCATATATTTTTTTTTTGGTGAACATTTCTAGCCCATGGCCAAGAGCCAAAAGCCAGTTTGGGCCCGCCGTTCGCGAGGTCAAGTCTGACTGACGTGCGCACGTCTCGAGCGCCGAATAAGGCCCATCACAATAATAATAGACGTAATAATCATCATATGAAATAATATAGAAAAATTATGTTAATCGCCCATTCGGCCAGCCGGTCGTCGCTCGCCGGTCTCTGACCATAAAAGGCAGCCTGTCCAGAACGCAAAATTTAAAAGAAACAAAAAAAAAAAGAAACTTCTTGCGTAATCGCAGTGCATTCTGAGGTGCTGAGCGGCCTGTTTGGGATTTAATTAGCCTCTCCATGGGGTACAATAGGCCCGAAATCCAAAACAAGCGACATTTCTGGCGGTATGAAAAATAAAATAATATATTTTAATATTGTCCTTTGGCCCGTCTGTTTGCCAGGCCACCGCGAACATAGTTCATTTAATTTTCATGGCAGTCTGGGCCAGTGCGAATGACACTTGCTTTGATATATAATTAGAATTTATGAAAGTGTCGGGGAGGAAAAACTTTTCCGGACACCCGGCCAGAGCCGCCCACTGGCCAGCTACGCCCGGCTGCTGTCAGCTGACAGCTGGTAGCGGTCCTTGGGTTGCAGAGAGAGAAAATATTCATATGAACAAGGAACAATTTATGCTAGAATTAGGTTAAATTTAAAAATAAAAGTACTATGCCCGAATTTATTCACTATATTTCACATCCAATAAATAATTCTATTTGTAAGAAAAAATAAATCTACCTATTAATAATAAATAATCAAATACTAAATTTTTTGTTCCCTGTGACTTCCTGGGGAGAAATAATCATTATGCAGACAAGGCATCTGACAGCCGGCGGTCCAGCCAAGTGGCCAGAAGTGTCCCGAACTTTGGGTAACAGGGACAAATCTTGTGGGTGGCGATGATAGCGGTTTCGGTGACGCCTTCGCTGGAAACGTAACTGAGCTAGCTGAACAAAAAAAAAACATTAAAAGTCAAAGTAACAGCCGGGGAAGTGGGTCGTAACAGCGGGGCTCTGGGTGGTTACTGCTTATGTAAACAGTTAACAAATTAAATTCGAATATAAAAAAATATTGCAACGGACCGTTTTCAATATTTGCTAATTGAAATTGCCAATGAAGATGGCTTTTTGCCACGGGCTATTTGCCAATCCTAAGCGGCTTACAGCGGCCAGCTGACAAATTGCTGCAAAATACCTGAAATACCTGGACCTTTCAGCTGCCACCCACGGCTCTTTATTCGTTTTAATGAAGCACACGTAGCGACGACAACTGCAATAAAAGTAATAAAAAACTTAGTGTTGGGGCCGGCATATGAAACTTTTATTTATTTATTTAGTAACTTTGTATATTTTGTTGTATTTTTCGCCTTTGCTGATGTGACTTGCGTGTTTTAATGACGTCGCTTGCGTGCCCAAGAAAGTGTTGAAAGTTTCCCTTCTGCCTTTGTTGCCACGATTTGTACTTGGTTTAATAAGCGGAAACATCCCAGGCAGGTGGGGGAGGTTGACAATGAACCAAAGGAAAGCTGTGGGGAACCCAATTATGACGCCACAATAAAAAGTTTTGTTTTTTTATTATTGTTTATAAACACGCTTTACTTTTATTTTCATTGGTAATTACTGCCCGCAGACTGCTTACGTCTCCAGCTCTCAAAGAGGCCATCAAACGGGCCATCTGGCTTTTGGACTTCTCAGACCAAATGAGGAATAAACTGCGAAAGCCTTTCTAATGCACTCTGGTACTCTGCGATTGCAACATAGTAAAAACGATGGCTCTACTCAAAATGAAATTAGTCTTTCCTCTTATTCTAATTGCCCTAATGTCCAACGCTGTCTATGCTTTTTTTTATAGTGTAAACTTAAGAGCACTTGGATTGACTGCTCTCGATGAGATTTCAAGAACTCGTTTTATGTTTACGCGGTGATTAAAGTAATAAAATGGTTTTTGTACATTGTCGTCTATTAGTCATAAGCTTCACTTGAAAAAAAATATAGTTTAGGTTCTTAGAAATTATAGCAGCAGGAGTCATTTTTGAATACAAGAATCTTTAACCCACTTGAGGATAAGAGAAGATTCTTGGTGCTCTCCAAGATGAAATTAACCTGACAATGTTCTTCATTTCAATCAGAAACAAAAGAAAATTAAAATATTTTATATCTGATTTAGAATCAATTGGATCTAACGATCATTGTCCTGTCATTTTTCGGGTTTACTTTTACATTCCCAGAAATGGGAGGTTGGCTTCCAATACCTCTTAATATTGTCAGCTGGTAGACATTTAGACTACTATCAGTCGCCCTAATTGAGAGTACTCCAAAGTGTTCAAGTACTTAGCTAGTAACAGGCCGCAGACAAGGCGAACTTTTATTTAGCCAGCTATACTAGCTGTGTGTTTCCCCACTTCCCCAGTGCCCGCAAAAATCACGGAACGTACTTAGCGCAAATTGTGAAAGTTGGAAAAGTAGCTGGCAGCCCTGAAGAGCAAAGTCCCATCTTCCATCTCGCGTTTTCCCATTTTCCAGATGGCAATGGCTGGGGCCGAGGGAGAGGAAAACCGCAGCGATGGGCCGAACTTGGCCCCTGGGTTCTGCTAACCCGGATTACCCCCCTGATTGCCAGCGCACGCACTCGCCGATGCTGATGCTGCCACACGCAGAGGCAGTTAGAAGGAAACTTTAGAGTATCGCAGCACTAAACAAGTTTGGCTTATAGACAGACCTAGGTTGGCCGCAAGACAACGGCACAAGATACGTGAGAAACCAGTAACGGTAGTAGGTCTGACTCTATCTTTAAAATATTAAGTTTCGCGGGGACCACAGGGACTATGATGAATAATTTGGATTAACTATTCAATAATTTAAACAACTTTAATTAAAATTAATTTAATTTGATGCATTATTATTTTGTTTGTTATAAATTAGTCTGTTCTAGATTTAATTACTAAGTTTTACTAGTATCTTTGACCAAAAAGTAAGCAACACAATTGTATGACCTTTCTCTTATTTAAAAAAAGGGGCTACACATTTATGTATTTAAAAAAATTCCTATCATTTATATAAAGTATTTAAAATACCTATTAAATCAATAGAAATACAAAACCAACTTCCTTCAATCAACTCTCGCTTTAGCTTTCCTCTCATTGTTAGCCACTCTGTTCTAGTTTTCTTTTACTTTTGCCTCTAACCTGGTCTTTCTTATGTCTTAATCGCCAGCCTACGGGCTCTTTCTCTGCCTCTTAGAGTAGGTAAGTGTATCAAAATGGCATAATTATTACAGTGGCCGCCGTGCCTGGGAAAGCTGCTTGGAAACACGAAAACCGAGGGCAGTGGGTTAAGTTAAGTTAAGCTCTGGGTTCGCACACTGCGTACGTGGTGGCTGCTGCACGGCAATGGTCGCAATTGAGGTTTTCGCCTTGCGTTTGCAGCTCCGATTTATATAGGTTGTGTATATCTCATTTGGCGAACCGAGAGCAGCAGTAGTAGATCGCAAACCGGTTGCCGCTTCGTGGGTGTATTATTGTGTTATTGTTACTGCCGCTCCGACTTTTGTCTCTGCCACAGCGGTCCCGATTATGCAACACTTCGTGTCGCCGCTCCAAACCCGAAAAGTTGTGCAAGGCAAGCCAAGGCGGCAGTTGGCTCTTGTGTTTGTTGACTTTCAGCCGTTTTCAGTGCTTTACTCAGTACATTTGCGGCTTGTAATTGCGGGTCTGCCGGCTGTCAAGCCGAAAACCGCTCCAAAAAGCCTATCTCTCGATCTCACAAGCAAATGTGTAAGATGTCGAGCAAATCGGCGAAGAACCCTGAGCTAAAGAACACTGGACTCAGAAGGAAATGTGGCATATAGGTGAAGTAATCTGCTTCCTTAAGAAGGCTTACGAATTAGTCACAGGTCTGTAAAGTCTAAAGTGCAGCTCTTATTTGAGCTTTAGATTTGTTGGTTATTTCTTTAGAACAGCTGTAAGATTAATATGGAAACATACGAAGAAAATATTAGTAAGAAACCTAGAATTTACATATAAAGTTTTGGTTACTAAAGAACAATGTTCTGTACGGAAATAGCAACTTGAATTAAACTTTTATTAAGACTAAGGACATAAGATGTATCTAATGAAATGTATCTCAGAAAATGTATCTTATACTTTTGCAACACTTTAATTTATAGCCTCAAAACCAAAGCCATCAAAAATGTATTCTAAATAATATTTGTAATTCTAGTCCTCAAGGTAAGATGACCTGACAGCTGTATATCACTTGTTACGCCATAAAAGGGAGCACTCTAAAGCTCACACTCGGAGATATACTCACGCATCCGTTATAGACTTAAGAAATCCCTTGCTGTCAGCCATAAAGTATAATCCCGGTGCCCTCTTGTCTTGGCCAATGCTCCACATATGCGAAGTCCCACTTCCGCTTTCTGGCTCTGCCGTTGACGGGGCAACCCTTTCTCCCTCCCCCCCGTCCGGAGCCACCCATTCCGACACCTGTTCCCAGCTGAGTGCCAGCCGGTTGCGACTAGTAGCCCCATTTCCTTTGGACTGCATTAGAAGTCAAGTGGTTGAGCAACAACAGCCAGCAGACGAAACCGTTGCTTCCATGGCTGCCAGTTTGGTCTTGGCCTTAAAAATATATATTCACATGTGTGTGTATATAGCCAACTTGTTGCGCAACGACGGCAGCCACAAAAGTCGGAGGGAGTGCGTACATACAGGGCATAAAGTGTGATATTATTTTTATTAAAAAAAAAAGTATCCTGAAACAATGTTGCTTTAATGTTGGACTCCATTATAAATAATTCATCAATTACGATAGAAGTTGTTAAGATAAAATATCGCTTTTTATGTGCATTTAAATCGAGCTTAAAAAACAATTTCAGCTAGGGGATTTTTTGCAGTGCAGGAAGATGGATGACGCACATGGCAAGCAACCGATTTTTGAAAGAGAAATTGCTATCTCAGTGCAACGAGTTTTTGTTTGCTGTGCTGGCTGTTATTCTTACTGTTTTCGTTGTCAGTTCGCCAATAAAAAGCCAGAAAGACGGAGGACGGAGGAAGCCGACCAGGCAGCTGTTGGCCCGATTTGCCGGTTGTCTGTTGCACTTGTTTTGGCCAGATTGTTCCCGTTCTGCATTTTGCATCTGCCTCGGATTCGGGTTTTGTTCGAGTTCTGGTTGGATTCGTTCTACTGCTTTGGATTTATTATTATTTTGGTTATGGTTTTTTGTTGTATTTAAGCGTAAATATTTGGTTTAGTTTTGGTAGGCTGACTGCTTGACGCATTTATCGAGCTGGATAATACTTGTATTGTCACAAAAGCTTGATTTATGCAGCTTGTTGATACGCAATAAATGTATGCAGCCTTTGTATATAAATAAATATTTGTTTAAAAAACAATATATATTTATTTTTGATTCTATGAAAGGGCTATTTATACCTTAAAGCCATCTTTTGTTCAGCCGTTTCAGTTTAGGCCCAAAAGAAACAATAAAAAAAAAGGTGAATGAACTGACCGAAACGCAAAAATAACACACATGTGTACAAATATGAGCCAAAGCAACAGCTTTTTTAGCAAGAGTGAAATTTCGGTAACAAGGTTCACAGCGGCCACAGAACTGAAATACAGATCAGGAGAGAAAAGTAGTAGAGTTCCTCAAGTCGAAGTATTGATACCCTTTTCCACGTAATACTCCTAAAATTAAGTAGGCTGCTGTGTTGCTAAGCCCAATCTGCATTTTAAAATCGCATTAAAATTAATATATGTTATAAAAAAGTATTTAGCAATTATGTTAGAGTCCATTTCTGATTTTACTCTATTTTACTTAAGCATAGAAAATATTTCCTATTAAGATACAGTTCACTGATCACATTTAATAGGCTCTCTGTAAATGTTTGTACTTATATATTCGGAATTTTAAGCTATTTTTCTGCTTGAATTGATGCCATTTAATTGAGTTTCTCCTGCTGCTTGTTTGGCAAATATTAAGCTAACACACTCGCCAATAAACTGTTGGGAAAAAATAACCAAAAATTAACCAATAATAATTTGTTTTAATAATATTTGTTATGGCTCGCCAGTACCGTTGCTTTGTTTTGTGGCTTGCTTTTAATTATTGTTTCTGGCTGACTCAGAAATATGCAAACCATAATATTTCTATCCCTTTTTTTGCTCAGCAATCTCTTTGCAAAACTTTTAATTACATAGTTTCGCTTGTGGTGGGTAGGGGGCGGGGCCAGGGCGTGGCCGGGACTTATTGCCGCATTTTGCATATTCATATTGCTATTGCCAGGAAAAAAGCAACGGAGTTGTGCAGGGGATTTTCCCAGCTAAAAAAGTTTCAGAACATGTGGAAATATTTGCGGCGTCTGGCAAAAGGTTGCAGCTTTTCACCGGCCAAATTCCTTTCCCTCTTTACTTTGAAATACGAAATTCGCCTTAATTAAAACAATGCCAAAGAGAAACAATAGTATCCGCATAACATACATATATCATCTTTCAGCATCTCGCATTTCCCCGTAAAATGTTTAATAAGCTCAGCCTCACAAAAACAAAAAAAAAACACAAAGCAACACTTGCTGCTATGTTTATTTTACCTACAGAACGTGCCAAATGAAAATAAAACCCGAGCGCAGCAAATTTAATAAATATGAAATGAGTTTGTCATACACACGCACACGCACTGGCACACACGCCCCGCAAAACTCACTTTTGCCTTTGCTGAACGAAACCCTTGCCCCAATTACACGGATGCCGGGGATTCCACTTCGGGCCTGCATGCCTTCGATAACGTGCCGGAGCCGCAACGGCAAATACCTTTAAGCCAGCTCCAAAAACACTGGCAGGGGGGGAGGGTCCAGGACCTTAGCAAATAAACACGCACTTACGGGCTCAGAGGACTTTTATAGGGGCACCACTAGCCAGCCGCACACACAGACACGGGCTAGCCATGAATAACGCGTGACACTAACACAGGGTATATAGAGGGGATCACAAGTCAGAGCTGGCTCTAGGAGGTCCTGTCGTATCCTCGGGGCATCCGGCGAATGCCAAACAAATCGATGCCTGGAGAGGGCAAAAATTTGTGATTATAAGCGCATAAAGCTTCTGCCCAAGTCCTTGGCCTGTCGACTCGAATTCCGTTCGTAGTTTTCGGCTCCGGCAAGCGGAACTTGTTGAATAAATAGGGAAATGAATGGCAGACTGTCACACAATCTGCTGATTGCTACACAGGAATTCCTGTTCCTTTTCCACATTCTCTCTGGCCGCCCCAGGAGCAGTTCTAAGTGGAGCTTGTCAGAATGTCTTGTTAATAGGTTTTGGGCAGTCTTGCACGGCACACCGTAAAATGTCCTTCTAGTAATGGGTAGGTAATGACTCTGACGAGTCCTGGTGCCATAATTGGCTGAAGATTAAGTTTCCTTCAGAGTTATGCAAGGTAAAAATAATGACATGCTTTGAAAGTGTACTGAAAAGCACAACTTTAAAAGTATTGTTTTACGCTGCGTTCATTTTTAATGATATTAATCCTGTTTTTGTTACTGAAACTTCAATACAGATACCTGAATATTTTAAAACAATAAGTTTGATATTCCTTAACGTACGCTTACGCTATTTTCTAACGATTCAAGTGTGTACAACATATATAATATAAATTACTTAAATATTCTAATGATAGTGCTTAGTTCCCACAGCCCAGTAAGGAAAACCTTGCCAAATACTAGACATAACACTGGAATCTGTACCATGAGAATGACAGGGAAACAAGTTATGCGAACAATGGTAGCCACTGTTTGCCATCTAAATTCGCACGGCAGCCAACAAAATGATTGCACATATTCACAAGAGTGGTGGAGTACTTTTTCCCAACCTGTGTCTGTGCATAAACTAATGAGCAACATTCGTTTTATTTCTCTGCAACAGAAAACAGAAGAAACATACATATTTGCTTATGCTATTTGCCTTTTGGAATGGTGCCTTGCTAGAAACTATTTCTGCCATAAAATACTTTTCCCTTGAAAGTCTGGCAAAGTTTTTCCCCATAAACTTGTCCTACTTAACTTCAGTTTGGACAGTTTATTCTGTTGTTTGCCTTAAATTTGTACACGGCTTGGAAATTACTTTAGCACAGAGATCCCTTTCCAAATCATTTATTCTGTTCTAGCGACTCACTTTTCCTCGGGACTGACCTTGCCATTGAGGCGTGGCCAGCCGGGAGTCTCGTTATACAATGCATCAATGCAACAGCCTCGCTTAGCTGCGTCTGCTTTAACCCTCGAAAGGCCGCAGGCTGGCATTGTCCTTGCTGACTTGTCTTTTGTTTCCACTCGTGGGGAGAAGTGCAGGAATAGTGTAGTCATGGAAGTGCAAAGCGTCTGCCAAATAAGTCGGAGATACCTTGAGCGGGGTATCCCCTAATTTAATAGTTTTTGATATTACAAACTTATAATGCTAAATAAAATAATTGTGTTTTCTTAACTATTAAACGATAAATAAACTTGTATCCTTAAAAATTGCGAAATTAATTCAGCGTTCCTAGAGATTAACCTTAATCTTATATTTTTATTTCATTAATTTGAATTAAATATTTAGAAAACTGATCAACCTTTTTTGGTATCAATATATCAAATCAGACTTTTCCTTTCGATTCACATCCCTAAATCAAACCAAGTTTAAAGGAAAACCAGGAAAAGTGTTGCACAATAAACTGGGCCTTCGTTCGATTGCACTGTTGCTGCCTCAGCATTGCTTTGTTCTCAATATTTATCACAGCCTCTTTCTCATCCCCCGCTTCGGGGTTTCAATTGCATTTGCATCTCAATTGCGTTCGCCATGAGTGCAACAAAAACTTGGCCCACAAGACGACGTATCAACAAAAGACACGAAACTTTGGCCAAGTCCTCGAGTCCCTCGGAAGGGAAAACTTGAGAGCGAAGCTGTGCTGGCCATGTCCTGGGCAACGCCTCAACCCAACCAAAAAGCATACAAATGTTGTGCAATCTGTCAGTTGCAAAACGGCAAAGGATTGGTTGATAGAAGAGCAAGAGAGTGCATCGGATTGGCTTGGGGCCTGCATAAGTCCTTGTTAAGATATATCCCATTTCGAATATGACATTATTGTCATTCATTGGTTGCCTTGTCTAGGTTTGCTCTTGTTTTCAAAGATATGCCTCAAGGGTGTGGCAATGTAAATCAGATTAAGGTTTTCCCGCCTCAGTATTTTAAGCTTGTAATAGGGATTTTGACAATCCCTTGGCAGCCTGAAGACAATTCAGCTGAATTCGTGACTTGCAATGTTTTGAGTTTCATAAGAGGCATTCTTACCAAGTAAAAATAGTATTAAAGAAAGGAGAGAACCGAACGATATATCTATAATATAAGTCGTATATACATGTAATCCAAAATTGTCTAACTATTTAGTTTGCAAATGCCATTTTTTCATGTTTTCCTTGTTATTTCTTTTGAACCATTTCGATTTATATCCCTAGCGTATATAAAAATTAGAATGTTGATTATGTTGACCAACAAAAAACGGTGGAAAAAATTAAATAAAATAATAAAACCAAAGCCGACAATCATAAAATATGAATGTTTGCGTGCCAGACTATATTGCATTTACACAAAGGGCTCAGCATAATTTGCCTGACTGGATTTTCGCAAGGACGAGGAATGGGAGGCGTTTGGACGTGATCCTGCGGCGCAAGCAAGCCAACTGTCACCACAATGTTGGGGGTACAAATAACAACAAAGCCCCGAACAGACTAACATCACTTTTATGATTTATGGCGAAAGTGTTTCTGTGTGGCTTTGGCTTGCTGCCATCTTGGCCGAAAGGGGGTGCGTTTCCTGGCCAATCACAAACATAACTAATCCTCATGCAAAGTGCCGGGCTGGGACTCAAGAGCAATCCGGTTTAGCTGTTGAGGTCTAGAGAAGCTTGTCAGGAAATAAACTATGCTCCAAGGATGTTGGAAGAACATTTTCGATTAAACATTTTCAAACTATTTAAATGCAGCAGACCTGACGCATTACGGTTGCTCAATTTCAGTACTCTTATCCAACATTTTCATTATACATTTTTGTTCAGCCCGCAGCGACGGGCTTGACACTTTGTTCACATTCATTTTTATTAAATTTATGTAAATTCTCCTTCATCTGCTTACAGCACTCTCTCCCTGGGCGAGGACTAACCGAAAGTAAATTGAAATTGTAAGTAGCCGAAAGCGTTTTGCACATTTTCCGATTAATGCGATGAAAACTGTAAATTATGCTGCCGGCGTCAGCGTCCGGAAATGGGGCTGGGAAGCCACGGGCGCTCAGGTCAGAGTTCAGCCACGTACAACGATTTTTGCACTTGGCCAGCGGGGCGTATGATTGGTTGCCGCTGTGGTTTGGCTTTTCCTTAAATTAATGCGCAGCCAAGGTGTTAAATTGCCCGTAACCGCTCCCCAAGGCTTCGCGAGCCCCAAGTCTATACTCGTAGCAAACCAAAATCCCTAAAGTCGCGGCATATTCTGATTTTGCAAAGGCTCTATCCAAAGGGATAATTAATTTATAGAGCCTTAAGACTGTCCTTCACTCCGTTTTTTATTGTCAATGAGTACGACTATGACTGCACTGGGTATAATAGGACAAAAGAAAAGTAGACAATAGAAATCTGAACATCGTGATTGAGTTTAATGAAAAATTTCAGGGAAAGCAATATGAAGCTTCTGATGAACAACAGCTCAAGCCAGAGATTTTTGTTTACAAAGCAGAAGTCTAAGTAAAAATAACAGAAATTTAGAAGCTCCTCTACCTCACCTGCAGGAGATACATATAAATTCATTAAATTTTTTTAAAGACAATTTTCACTGTACACTTTATTAGCTCACCTTTATATATCCTGCACAGAAGGATCAATATTTCTATTGCTTTGTTAAATTATTTGTCATTAGATACATCATACGAGCTACTCAAGAAACGCTTAATTAACTTTTGACAAGCAGCAAGAGCTTTCCAATTTCCCCAAGCTATGCTGCACTTGATATTCAGAAAATGCAATTTACTGGCTGCGTTTTACCTTTGCAAAAGTTCCAACTCATACGACCTGTAGTAAGTACGAATACGAGTGCGCAAAACGAATAATTCACTTATGCAGCTGAGTGGCAGAATGATTCGTTTTGGGTATTGGTCTTTTAACCTTGCCACGTGGAGAATGGATTCCTATTTGGCTGTCAAACGGAGGGGAGAAAGATGCGCAAACTGTCTGAATTATGCAAGCGAAGAACGTTCTATTTTCGAATTTGAAATGTAGCATGTAGCTAAAATTGAATTAATGCGCAGGAAACGCTTCAATCCAAAGTGGTGTTGGGGACACGACCAGTTTATGGGCCACATGCTTCAGCTGCATGGTGTTGCTTCCCGCTGCTTTAATTGTAAAGGTTTTAAATTTTTTATTGGGTCCCAGAGCAAAGAGAACTCACCACACCCATCGCGTTTATTTAGGGTGAGATTGACTAGGCGGCGGAGGCCGAGCCAACTCACTTGCTGTCTGGTGGCCCGAGACCATGTACATCCGTTCCGGTAAAAGTGGGTAATAAATTTTTTAAAATCTGCCTAGAGCAAAAGAATATGGCTGTGCAAAAATCTTTAAGTTCTAGTGGGAAGGCTGTATAAGCAAGAACACCATTTTGTTATTATTTTGTTAAAGATAGAGTTGCAACATAAAGAAGGTTTCTTCTTTAAAATCATTTTAAATTTGGTGTTATAAATTTCATAAAATTTAAACTATTTGTACATGGTTTTTGAAACTCTTTAAGTGGTTTACAGTACTTTTCCATATTATTAAGACCGCCCTTACTTATCCCTTACGAAGTACCTGCTAGTCGGGACCCTCTGTGGCCCACTAAAACTTGTTGAATCCACTTCCGAGCCTGGCAGAGAGTGTAAAAACAGCCCAGGCAGTCGCATTTACGGCCCAGTGTCCCAGCTGAAGGTAAAACGTGCGAAGGACACTCAAGCCGAGAAGGTTCGGGGGTGTGGCGCGGAAGCCATGACAAAATGTAGCAGATTGGCCGCAGACTCCACAGCCAAGGCAAGGCACAAGGCTAAGCCCCGGGCAAAGCTCGTGGAGGAATACAGGGCCAGCTCGCAGTGTTGCATATTTAATCCTGTTGATTTTTATTCGTTTCCGTGTTGGTTTCCTGCCACTGCCACTGTTCTTGCTCGGGCTCGACTATTTTCTACAGCTCTTTATCTGTGTCTGATGATTTTGCATTCTGCTGCCTGCTAGCCAAGTGTCAGGGACAACTTTCCACGTGTCCATGAAGGTCGCCGCCGGACACTACAGATGGCTGACAAACCCCTCCCAAAAGGGATCTAAGTTTTGTGGCCATTCTTAATATGCAGACACGTGTCGCTTTTCATGGTCTGTGAAATGGCATCTTTATTTACATGCCCTTTACATATAAAGGTTCTCTTACAATAACATCAGTTTACTCAACTGAAACTCAAAATAAATGGTATTAACAGAGAACTAAACCATTCTTCTCAGGCAAAACAATATGGAATTCATTTAAATATTAAAACAATATGAGTTTCATTTGAATGCGGGCATACTCACTAATTTGGTAGCTCTTTATAATGAGCCACATTTCCCCAACTAACAGCGGAAGTTTTTATATTCGGAGAGGTAGTATCCGAGCGCAGCATAAGCCAGGTAAGCCCCAGTGGGTCAAACACGTCGCCAATTAAAGCGCGTGCCTTCAATCAATCAATCAAGCCGTCTATCGGCTGTTGGTGGCACGCTCGAGTTTGACAGATTCACTTGCCACCCGGGGCGCGGTATGAAAGTTGCCTGCATGCCGTAAGTGGTACAAAGTAATAGGAGTTGGCTCTAATGAGGGTGGTTACGTAATTTGGCAGAAAAAATATTGCATACCCTGGGAGAGTGAATCATTATTTCAGCCAAGAGTACGCAACAAAGTGAGAGGGACAATTTGAATGTAAAATAAATATTTATGTACAGTATGTGTACATGTTTGATTTGCATTTTTGCACAAGAAAAATAAATAAATAAATGTGTGAAATGCATTACTATAAGGTACCCTATGCTTACCAGTTACACTTAGGCTTACTAATCCTTGGTGGCTAAGATGCCTAATAGGCAGGAGAAGTCATTGTTAACTTCGAATCTTCATGAAAAGCGCAATGAGTCAGTGCCATTATCCTCTACTTGGACAGCCTCATCATCATCATCATGTTAATCAAAATGCCATTTCTAGTTTGGATGCTCGCAGGAAAAAGAAATTAGCTTCGAAAATTGTTAAAACATTTTGCGGTTCGCCACACAGACCCTGGCAGTGCCACCGCAAAATCAAATCGGCTTATAAACACGCCTAAGAATTCCCTTTCAGGCCGACGCGTCTTCGTGCTTTTTCTTTCATTAGTCCGTACTTGATTTCATTTATTTTTTTTCTTGTTTGCTGCCTTGCTCACTCACTGGAATTCTAAAGTTACTTGACCGCAACAAAGCGTTAAAATTGTGCCGAGTTGTTTTCACCACTTATTTATATCAAATTTGTTCTTAATCAGCTGAAAGCGTAGCCAACTCTGCGTTGGACGTTCCATGACCAGCGTTTTATATAGTCGAGATTTAATGGAGTCTGCAGAACCATTTTTCAAAGCTATTTGGAGAATTTCGAGGCAATGTAGAAGCGACTTTATGAAAGGATTTTATGGTATGACTTTAACTTGTGAATAATGATCCAAGTTTATACTTTTTTGTACATTTTAGAATACATATTTACATGCAAGCTAAACGTGACTAAGTATTTCACTTATATAATTTTTTAAAGATTCATTTTTATACAGATTATGTTACATTTAATGGCTATAAGCAATGATCATTTACCTGCAAGCTCTCCCTAAACATATTCTTCACCCATCTCAGCCTGATTACAATTGAATTGCCCTAGAGAAATTGCCTAATCAATGTTTGCTCAGCACAAAAAGCTCAATTCCTTAAAGTTCTGTGCACTGCACAAAGGATATCGACCATACGAAGCATATTGTTGAGCCAGGCGGCAAGGAAAAACATTCAACAAGCGCCACAATAACGTGATGAGGGGGAAACCAGATGCCGGCCGCACCGCAGGATACGTGCGTGGCATTCCACTCGAGGCGCTGTCCACCTGCTGCCAGGATGCGGCATTACGTGCCACTTTGCCCCTCGTTCTCCTTATCGGACGCTTCTAATCCTTTCACGCCACACCGTAGACTACACCAAATTAAAGAATGCTCGGAAGACCGGAAAAGCGGTTAGTTAAGAATGGATTGGTGGAGAGGGAAACTAGGTCAAGTGGTCATGGCCTGTCCCAATCGGAAGTCCCTATAGGCTGCTGAAAAATAGAAACCACTAAGCTTTTATGAAGCAATTAAGCCCGGTTAATAAAATCAACCTTTTGCTGACGGCAAAACAAAGAGCACGCAGAGCGTGAGCAAGATGGCAAACCGTTCCTGGCAATTAGCCTTGAGTGTGTTGCATAATGTATATGTCCAATGAACTGCCAAGGGGACTAATAGGCATAGTCAATGAGCGTACAGGAGGCAGCTCAGCATTAAAAGATAAATACACTAAGCAACACATACAGATACATTGGAGAGATAAGATACATTGAATATATTACAGATATTATTGAAAAGATACATTAAAAATAGATACGAATGAAAGCGAAAGTTTTTTCTATTTGGAATTTGTTTATGACTTTGACTTAGATTAAGATTTATTGGCCAATGTTTTCTTAACCCTACAGGTTTAATATATTTTCATATTTTACTCAAAACTTTTATGTTAATTAAGCCAAGTATTTATCTAAAACAGTTTAAAATCTTTGGACTTTGTTTTTTATGCATTGTTAGAAATAATATAAGCCTCAGGCTTGGCAATATATTTTTTTATTTTATATGTTTTGTTATGGATTATCAAAGACCTCAGAAGATTAAAATATTATATTCTTGCGCATCTTAACACACAATTTAAATCTTAAGTAAGCCGTATTAAGAATTATTTTTATTTTATTTTAAGGATAATACTGGTTTTTCTCTAAAACAGTTCCTCTAGTTTGTTAGCTTAAAGCTTTTTTTTGCTTCCCTAGCCAAGAAGCTTAGTGTTTGGATTCCGGGCTCTGCGCCTAATTGAGAATGAATATTTTATTGTTGAACCATAACAATACAGTTGCCCGAGCGAAGCGAGAGAGATGTTTACGTGAGACAACTGCCAAGCGGCATCGGTAGCATCAGTGCGACATTAAAGCCACCGGAGATGGGGGAACGGCATTCGGCAAAGGGAGGAAAGTGATAGCCTAGACCCACATAGTGAACGGACATCAAAAGTCAATCAATGTAATGTCAAAGCAACGTGGTTGATGTCCACCCAGCAAGAAGTCGCCGCTGCAGGGAAATAGCCTTGAGGCAGAACCGCCATGGGTGTGGCGTTGAGCCAGCATGGTGCACAGCTTGACAAGAATATATTGCACTCGCCGCCCAGCTGGATAGTTTTTACCTGGCCAAGCTGAAGATGGATGCAGCATTACGGCTTTAAGCCAACTCTCAGCCCTGCCCAGACCACTTTAGGCAAACAAATGTATATACGTGATAACATTCAACGAATCCAACTCCTATTTGTAACACAAAAGCCATCAAAACAATGAGGAAAAAGTAATCTTGGAAGCAAATATTAAAGTGCACTCAAGGGTTCTCTAACAGTTGGGACTTTCGGTAGTTAAAGGTTTCTAATTAACTCTATCGAGGCTTACAATCTTCAGTTTTATGGGCTCGTAAAAACTGTCTTTAAAATTGTTATCTGCTGCGTGCAGTTCAGCATATGGTTCATAATTAGTTCAACATTTTGCTTATCTTAACTATGAGTAATATTTAGAGCCCATTAAATTATTTGCTTAGTAGAAAAACCTCGCTTAAATGGAAAGTTTAGAGCTTATTTAATAACCTATCATTTATTACTTAGCTCCTAATAGGTATACCCTCTGGTTAGTTCCTTGGTTTCCCTGCCTCCTTGTTGTTATTAAAATTTAATTAAAACGCCATCAAAGGAGATAAGCAGCAGCTTGTTGAGATGGCGATACTAAAGAGTTAGGCGCCATTCTGTAACGGTTAAGTGGACTTGCCCGTAAAATTGACTACCGGCTCTCTCAGGGCAAACTATCCGGGAATGCAGCGCTGGAGGGATGCCCAGGGGGGAATAACTGCGATGGCAGCTGTGATTACGAAGAAGTACGCTCAGTCATTTAACTTTGACATTGCAGCGCTCCATTTGGCGCACACTACAAGTCCAGCATCGAGTGTATTCGCTATGCTACGGTGAGAGATAATATTGTATAGATTTTTGAATATTATGTCTGGTTTTATTAAAAACTATGAAGAGAGCTGTCTTTTTTAATCTGAAATTTAATCTTTATTTATTCCCTTTATTCTAAGGTGACCCTTGGCACCTACTATATAATATTAACACAAAAAAATATACAATATAAGGCCATAAATAAATTAATGATATTTTCGAAATGTTATTGATCATCATATATATGGTATGTATCAACATACATCCCTAGTACCTACATGTGTCCTGTTGTGTCCTGCGGTGTTTCGTGCTGGGTAATTCGAGCTAGAAGCTATTTAATTAATGTTAAGCATTAAGCTCGATTATGTGGAATAAATGAGCGGAATAACCGGTGAGTGCGATTACGCAGCCGGGTGGACTCTGGCCGGAACAACTCAGTTAATGGCCAATTGGCTAAGAGGCGCTTTGCGAGCGTCGGAATAAGGATAAATCGATGCACTTGGCTGAAACTACTAAGCTCTCAATTAAGTCAGCCTTAAAGCTCATTCTACTCTGATCAGCCTTATCCGTACTATAAAAGGCTTGAATAACGCAATAGTGACTGCCACGGGACGGTAAAGAAAATCAATTTTAGCGACTCGCATTTAATGTGAGCTTCAGGCAGCCAAACAAACAACAAAGACAAACAACCAACGCAACATGTGGGACGACGTGAAAAATGTTTGTCTGTCGCGGTAAATTATTCAAAAATTCCGCGTGCTCAGGGCCCCGAAAGTGATAAGAGCTGAGGAAAGCAAAAAAAAAATGGTCGTCGAACGAACGTATATAATGTAAACAAGCAGCCAACGAAAAACTTCAGATTGCAAATAACAAAGGAACTCAAACTTTGGAAAAATGCTAGCAGTCAGCCGTCGACCGACCGGTAGAGGTAATTCAAAGAAGGAAAGACAGCAGGATGGGAACACCCTGGGAAATATGCTTTATTGATTGGATAAATATTTAATGCACTTTCATATTTCAGCAGAGAACCACTTTGGTAGCAGTGAGCGGCGGAATTTGCGTGTGAAATGGCTTATTACGGTCACGTTCTGCCCATAAAGACAGCCAGTGGGGAGGCAGGGAAAGTTCGTTGCCGCGCAGGCCTGGGCACTTGCAGCCCGGATTCTGGCCACCTGTCGGCAGATCCGAAATTCACAGGAATCTGTTGATGGTAACTGTTGTGGAAATACAGTGACACAGCCCCAGGCCAACTTGAAGGTGCCACAGCACAATATATTAACCAGAAAAAACAGAAGTTAATGGACGTTTACCCAGAGATTGCATTTGGAAAACGGATTTGAATTTTGTATTATAAATTGAATTTTTTTATAATTATTTTGTATCTATTCGGAGAATTCCGCTGGCATTTAGTTAAAGCAAATCAATCGATGGTTTAACTTGACCAACGACGTTTAAAAGTGGTTTTTGCGTACATTTCAGGACATGGTTTTACCATGTCAGTCAGGTAGCAATGGCAACGTTAACTGGGCTGGAACTGGGCTGGAAAATGCCAAAGGGCTGCTGTGCTGGCTGACGTTTAATATCATTAACAATGTCCTTTCATGTTTTGACGGTCGTGGTCAAGCCAAGGCAAACAATCCAAGAGCAGAGGGCCACCTTTCATGGCCAAAAGCCGGACAAAAGCTCGGCATGTGTTTGGGTAATTGCCTGGACTTTCCCTCACGGTCGGAGTGGGCCCACTTTATTTGTCTGTTTGCCGTCCTGTTTCCGGTGCGAGCTGTGAAAACTGTGTAAAAATCACGTTCATCTCATAAATTCAATTCCAGCCACATTACGCACGAAAAACGGACTCGGGGCCCAGAGCCACTTGGTCTGGCCCCGGGGCTGGAATAATTAATTACCCCTGTGCCGCAATCGTTTGGCAACATTTTGAATTTCTCAGGGCCTACATGTCGGTTTACCGAAAATAGCCGCCAGGATGCAAGGCCATGTCTGTCTATCTGACATTGCAGGGGTCGAGTGCCAAGCTTGAACTACTCTGTGGAGTCCTATCCTGTGGAGATCCAATTACCTGGCTCTTTGCCGGTTGTCATTGGCATACCTGTGTGGTAACCAAATATGGCTGCGAGCTAAAATAGTTTGTCATGTCATTCAATGAAAACAAACGAGTATCTCGACAGAGGCATTACAAAGATAGATCAATCAGTCAATATAATAATAAGCTACATTACTTTGGTTTCATTTTGTGTAAACTATATTTAAAAATGTGATAAAAGTCCCTTTAGTAGATACAAAAGTTCATTGAATAACGTATCTAAAGCAGCATCGGAAAATTCAACATTTAATTGCTTAACTCTATCAGTCTCAGTTTCAATCTCCCTCCACTAATTGTGGGATTGATGGCACGTGCGGACAGCCGAACATCGTTTGCATAATGCAGTTGCAGCTCGCTAATTAAACCATTGCACTGAGGCGTGCAGAAGTGGTCCACCAGGTGATCAATGGGAATTGCTGTTAAGCACAGGCCGAAATGAGAAGCCCGCTCAACAGGCAACTCCCATTAGCTGGGGCCCTCGATTCTGAGTCAGGGAACGGTGAGCGATGTGAGAACCATGAGTTTTCCCATCGTTCGCCAGGCCATTGTCATAATTAAGAGTGATGAATGAGCCGGCAAATCGAGGCAAAACGATGCGAGTTGCAGGTGGAGTTCCCGTCAAGGGAGATCCGCTGGCTTCTACTTAACCATCTCCGGATCTTGACTGCACTTGCGTGTCACAGTAATTGACTTCAATTGCATGTGACTCTGTCGGCACTCGGTGCATTCCACTGACAGAAACGGAAGTTCTTCAGTCAGACTGATGAATTGCGCAGATTAAAGCTGAAAGTTATTTTAAATGAAATGTTGCAATGCTGCCCCCCACTTAAGTGTACCTAGTTATGTAGGCCAAGTTAAGAAACAGATTACACGGATATTTTCCATTAGCCTGGACTTAGAGTTACTTCTGCGAAATTAATTACAGCGAAAGAAGAGGCACTTGCCGCTGCCAAGCTGCAAGCAGTTTAACTAAAAGTAAATTGAACTGAAGCGGGGGGCTTATTACAACATTGTTGCCGTGAATCTAGAAAAAAAATGCTCTCAATTACATGTAACCTTAATTGCCTTACTTATAACATCCGTGTTCTTATCTGAGTTGCTTTAACTATTTAAAAATATTTAAAACGAAACTATAGTTACAGTAGCTTAAAGGTAAAATTACATTTGCAAGAATTTAAGTTTAATTTACGCCTTATGTAATTTCTTTTTGCATAATGACATTTTTCCGGCCAGCTCTCTCTGTTTGGTATTGTAATGGAATTTGCATTCTGGCATCTGTCGCGGACCCACAGGGCGAATGCGTAATTTCTGTTTTAACAACCCTCCCGGCTTCCAGGCTGTTTTTGTTGAAAAACTTTTATGCGCGGAAGCCCAAAATGCAGTCAATGCTGAAGGCAGTGCTTAAAAATGCTTGTTCGTTATGAAAAGAATGTTTACGGAGGAGGAAAAGGAACCTAAAGCGATAGGGGAAGGCCCAGAGTAACTATAAGTTATATTTTATTCAATGTTTAAGTTTTAATCAATTTTATTAAACTTCATAGGTTCACTTCACTCCTTCTACTCGATATATACAAATGAACTATTAATATAACACATGGAACTCTTTAATACTTGCAGGCATCACGCTCTTGGGTCCGGTCGAGTGCACACTCTGGTCGGGCTGAAAGCCCCGGTCTCGGGACACATCGGGCAGCCCCAGCAACACCCACAATCACAACCACAGCCTCAGCCACAGCACCGGCTAAGGCTACGGCCACGGCTACGGGCAAATTGTATTCTAACCAAATGTATGCCGGGCGAGCAACCCAATTTGCGAAAACCATCAGCAGCATGGCGTGCAGCTTGCAGAAGCAGCCTCAGGCACCCCAACCGGCAGCCATGCCAACATCATGTGCTGGCGTAGAGGCGGAGGTAACTGGCGGGCGGCCAGGCGGAGGTGGCTCAAGCGGGGCTGGAACCGTTCCCTCCACACCGAAGACCACCAAGGCTGCCCAGCCAAGGGGCTCGCTGCCAACGGATGTAAACCAGCCCCCATTGGAATTCCAATGGCCGCCGCCCGTTCCCGTCTCGATACACACGAGCAACTTGCGGCTGAACATGATGAACCAGGATCCCAAGGACCTGCATACGGCCAGGGCCATAATCGAGGAGCTGCGCTCCAAGGTGCGGTTTCAGACGGAGCACATCATGAAGTGGCGCAAGGCGTACGCCATGCAGGTGAGGAATCCAAAAGGAAATATTAATTAAGCTAATTTTCAAGAATTTAACTATGGGTTTACCCACACAATCCTTTACAGGTTCAGCAACACTATCGCTATCAGAAGGAAAAGTCCGACCAGATGAACTCGCTCACCTCGCAGCTCCTGCTGCTGGAGTCGCGCCTAAAGCGTAAGCAGAAGCAAATCGCCAGCCTGCTCAACCACAGGGAGCTGACCATACAGCGTCAGCAGAAGATCATCGACACGCTCTCCTCGCGCCTTGTAGACCACGGCCTGGAGACGATAGAAGCTAGCTACGCCAACGAGCTGGACTCGCTGAACGACTCCGATTCAGCAGTGGTGATGGAGGACATTGACTCGGACAGCCCGCTGACCCTGGGAACGAGGCGGAAGAGCAGCGGCGCCGGCGGTCTGGGCGGTGTGCTGGGCAGCGATGGCATCACCATAGTGCGCTCCATATCCGATGCAATCGAGACGAATCTCAATAAGTACGGCGCGGCCAGACGTAACAACTGCTTCCTGCGACGTCCCGACATCCTAGAAACGGTTTATTCGGTGGAGGAGGACCCCGAGCCCACCTCCGACGTGGCCGAGAAGCGGGACAAATTCAAGAACCGCTCCGAAAAGGCCCTGAGTTCCAGCTCCACCGAAGGCCAGATTGACTCTGCGAGCCCCTCGGGCTCCGCCTCCGACAAAGCCAAAGACTTGCCCGTGGACGGCGGCACCGGTATACAGCGGCGTCAATTGGGTGCCCTCAAGCGGTCTCCCAGCCATGATGCCCCCTGCACAACACTCAGCGTCAAGGTACCCCAGCTCCAACCGCCCTCGCCTCCTCCGCCGAATACGGATCCGGTCACCGGGAAAAGTCAGGTAGGTTATATTAGTTGGAATGCGGGCACATCTTCTGATGGAAATAATGATTAATCTACTACTGTCAAACTTCATTTTCAGGTAACCAACTACAACCGCGTGATGCTGAACCATCGGTCAGTGACCAAACCCAAGGACGTCAAGTACAAGCGCATCAACAAGGCCAAGTCCAAAAGTCTCGAGGAGTTGCGGGGGCGTCTTAAGAACCTGGTGGAGCGGCCGCCGGGCCTCGATGGAGGATACTCCAGCGGCATGATGCCGCAGACGGCGCAGTCCTATGCGTGACATTGGCAGCAGCCAGACGAGGTCTCTAGCAGGCCAGCGGTGGCGAAGGCGCAAGCGCAGGCGGAGGCGGCGGGGGTGAAGGCGGAGAATGTAGAGCCCATGTCGGGGACAGTCAAGCTGTCAGCAGCGAGACGAGACAGTGACCTGAACCCCCAGCCGTCTCAGGGACAGGAGACTGGCAGACACGGCTTCCCGAAGCGGTCACTGACCCTACCCCGCATCCTAGTGCCACGGCAGTCGATGGCTGGATTGCCCAGCTCCAGCGGAGGAGACCGAGGCGGAGGCGGAGGTGGAGGCCGTGGCGGCTTCTAGCAATTAAAGAAATTTTTCATACGCAATTGTGATAAAAAGTAAAACCATTTCCTTACCGTCTCTGCTCGTTTCTGTCCACTTTTAGTTGCTTTAACACGATTCTCTTTTGTACCATTTGTTTCCTTGATAGTTATCCTGAGCTTAGTTTGGAAAACTTTGCATTTAATTAAGTTTAGTTTTAGTTTTACCAACGGAACTGCATTTTTACTTACCATTAAATATATAATTTTACACAAAATAAATATACTTTCAAGCCTATATCTGTCTATGATTTTGCAAAACAGTGCAAGCAGCGTATGAAAAATTTCCCCAAAATGTGGTTACACCCGTAAGTCTATACACCCGGAAAGAGTCTGTGAAAATTCTGCATATTCGAGGACAATATTTCCTAAGCCACGAAAGTTCGATGGTGAGTAGTAGTAGCCCCCGTGAGTCCCAGAGAAATGGGTGAAAATAGGCTAAAAAGTAATCATGGTAAATGATTAACTAAAGATAGATTACACATGTAAGAAAAATTTATTGGTGTCGATATTTGATATTACTTTCCTTCTCGTCCTTACCCATCTGCATAGATATGGAACACCATTTAAAAAAAATATATAACAAAATATACCTAAAACTGTTTTCGTTCTTATCCGACCTAGTATTAAGCTCTACTCCATGGACTGTCTTCTAGATAACAGAATTTACATCTCAATACAAATACGAATATATATTTTCTTACTAACTATTACTATCTATTTTTAAATATACGTAACAGTTAAGATGTACTTGTAAAGAAAGAAATTATTTTAGTTGGACATTTTATGGAAATTGTTTTGTAACTTGTTATCGACTCTTGGGGCCCCAACGACCCCAAGGTCATAAGTGTCAAATGTACCTTGCGAACACTCGTAATAGAAAGAAAACTCAGAATCAGAATAACTATAATTATAATTATAATGAGTTTAAGTCTACTTAAGCGTGAATTGGGTGTGAACTCTGACAATGGCTGCTATCAGGTCTCAATTATGTAAAATCCCAACAAGATACAAATATTTGAAAACCTAAAAAGTACAATGCTTAGCTTCAAAAAATTAATTAAAAGCTGTATGCTACGAAATATATAATATATTTATGTATATCAATATGCAACTCGGTGTTTCAGTGAATGTCCTATTGCAACAAGACGTACCTAAACAGAAGTGTTAAGTCAATATTGTTGAAACGCATTTGCAGCATCTTAAGCTTACCTCGTAATGAGCAACTAAATGTCAATGTAAATTACTGAGTTAGATATAGTTAATAAGTACATCCAAACAATAAACAATTTCTGATTTTGGGTCAGGATTAGCCCTTTAGTTTTTGAATAAAGAAACCCCAAACATAGCCAGATTTAAGTTTATACCATAATTCAGTTATGGCAATTGTTAAGTTAAATTTCGACTGAAAAACTTGTAATAGAAATACCCACACTGACCCCTTATCAGAGATTTTTATCGTTTGGCTGTAAAATTCTTATCAGTCAATTTTGAACTTTAATTTTATTACTTTAAGATGGTTGTAGCAAATCAACATTTGCCAACAATCATGTAAAGCGTGTAATTCTGAATATAAATGCATTAAGATATTTGATAAGGTAAATATTATAAATATAATGTAATAAGGTCTTAATGAAGGCATGCATAATTATTAATTAATAAGAAACCTTATCCAATATCCGCCAAATTTCAACTATCGTATCGGAACACAAAATGACATTGTACATTAAGGTAAAATCAATATAATTCAAGAATAATCACTACCAGCAAAAATCTCCCATCCTTAAGTTAAAAAAAGAACGTTCTTGTGAATTTTCCCTACCGAATTTCAAATTATTGCATTTTCTGCTCACAAACCTTATGGAGCTCTCGTATACAAAAATCATTGCAAGTGATTAAAGGAAATTATAAAAAATATATATTTCAGTTAAGATGTAAGAATAATATATTAATATTATTTTCTTAAAAGATCAAATTCTGACATTGTGGCTGTTAATAAATATAAAAATTTATAATTCGTTATTCTGTTAAATCTATTTTGATTAACACTCCACATCCAAATTTCACCTTAAATCCTGTTTAGTGTATATATTTAGCTACCATCATGTGCCATTAAAAACATAAATCATTGATGAAGTAAAAACATATTTGAATATTCACCGAAAATTCAATCAATATTAATAAATATAAAAAATGCTTTTCAATGAATCACATAAGAAAGAAGTAACATATCCAGCCTATATATAATATGAACAAAAATATTAAGTTTTTAACTATATATTTTATTATATTTCTTAATTTATTGATTTATTATAAAAAGCAAGCGTCAATGCTCATTCTTTGGCCAATTACAGTATTAAATTTATTTATTTACAAAATCTATGTGTTTAAAGATACCTTCTAAAGCCGGAAACTCTTCCTTCGCCCTGTCATAAACAAATATTTAAAGTATACAAAACTGAGAAAAAAAAACTTAACAGTAATTGTAAGATTTATTTAATAAAAGGTTAAGCCCCCCAATTCTATTATAAGCCAATAATAATTGCTGAACATATATATAGTCGCACTCATGACAAAGATTCCGCAAAACCAATTACGGAAATACAGTAGCAGGCAAATAACTTAAGTGTAGGTCAAGGTGTGCAATTTTCGAATGTAATTGCTAAAGCACACACGAGCATCCCAAGTCGATTGTGTGTGAAAATTTATTAGTAACTTTACTTTCTAGTTAGCTTAATTAAGTAATCGAAAACGAACGAACATTTACAGCCAATAATTTGCTCACTCTACACTGTTTGAATATACAATTCTTGAGATATTTTCTACTCGCGCTTAATAAAACAAAATAAACCCAAAACCACGTCGATCGGGAAGGGGTCTTTGCTTGGGATCAGTCTCCGTCGAGCACCGGTCACGGAAGCATGGCTAGAGCAGAGCGCAGTCTGGGGCTTCTTATCAGCATCGCCTGCTGGGGCTCGTGGCTTATCTGCCTGGTGAGTGAGTTCAAGTTGATTAGATAATTCCCGTATTGATTTTCCGGTGGCCAGACCCTGGCCGATCCAGCCCACATCCGCGAACGTTCCGCTTCCCTCGCCAGCCCCACTGTCCAGGCCGTTGAGCGGCTGTTCAACCAGGTGCTCTATACCACCATTGAGGATGCCCGCCAGCGATTGCCGCATCTGAACGCTAGCGATGCTATCGACAGGCAGTATTTCGAAGACCTGGACTCCATTGCGGCGAACGAGGACTATTACAGCACCGCTTACTACATCTTCGCCTGGATTAACAGCCAGTTGATGACCCACCAAAGTCCCGATAAACTGCTCCTCGAGGTACTTCCTGGCGAAAAGATAGCCATACGGAACTTCTTCGGCAAAGTCAGACCACATCTGACGAAGTATCTGCGCCTCAGTCGACAAGACAGGCTGGAATTTATGTCCAATATCACCCGCTGGGCCAGCGAAAGCGAGGACAGCCTGGTCACGTACTACCTAGAGTTTCCTCGAACCCTTCAGCAGCAACTGCCCGAGCTCCAGCTGATGGACTACACCAAGCTGGCCAAGGCTCTGCTGGAGGGGGTGGCAACGGGTATATGGAGCGTTCTTTAAAAAAAAAAAACCAAGACTTTTAGAACTATTCTGTACATAATAAATAGAGGACTTTAGATTTTGAACATTGATTTAATTTAGTTCCTGATTTGATTGTCCTACCTACTGTCCCACCAATTTGTAGGTTTTTGCTTTGAGCATGTGAAAGGTCTCATCGTACTCCCTCAATACCTCTTTGACCTTTCGCAGTGTGGCATCCATTGTCTCCTGGTCACTGATCCGTCTCACATACTTTATCTCCAGGGCCTCTAGTCGAGCTTTTAGCTCAGTATAGCCGTGTAGAAGGACTCGCAGCTGCCGCAGGACATGGCGCTGCTGACAGTCACTGCCCGGCTGGCGGCACTGCTCCACGAACTGAGCCATGTCCAGGCCCAGCTGCTCTAGATCTTGAGCCCAGCCTCTGATATCTTCACCGAACTGAAGGGCGGCAGATGCGGTTGAACTCTCATCCTGCTTGTGTAACTCCTTAAGGCTTTCGCTTCGCGGCGACACACGTGTCAACTGGAGCTGTGGACACTATTTGATAGAATAATCGCAAGAGGAACGGATACCACCTACCGACAATAGCAAGACCGAGATGTATATAGCTGTAGGCGGCATCTGACTAAAACGTTCTTATCACGCTCGTCGCCGGCTGGAGACTGATTATAGTGCTCGAAGAATAAGATTCCGCGATCACAGATTGTTCATTATTAAGGCGTGCTTGTTTTTGTTTACCGATCACGTAAGAAATGGGAGACTATATAAGATTCGGTGGCAACGCATTTCTGGCTAGAATTTGGACAAAATGGCCAACAGAGTGCTTTGGACGTTCCTCTTTGCCCTTACTGTCCTGCAGTCATCGGTAAGCTCCTTCCATTTTAGATTCCTGAATCCCAACTAAAGTTTTGTTATTCCGCAGTGGTCGGCTCCCACCTTTAAAAGACTGCAGGTGGAATTCGATGTGGCCAACGAGATGTTTCAGCTAATGTCGGCCACCTTGGAAGACTTCAAAGACTTTTTTCAAAGTGTTATCGACGAGGCCGAGCTTATTTTACCTCCAGACTCCAAAAGCACCATCCTTGAGATGTGTCAGGAGCTCATAAACGTTTTGAACACCATGGATATTGAGGACTCCTTGGAAATGGAGAGAATGGAGGAAGCTATGGAGGATATTGTGAACCTCTTTGAATCATTGGACAGCTCTAAGCTCAGCTCGGAGGCGGATGAAATTGTCGTGTCCATTTTTGAGCAGCATGGAGGTGAGGACATTGAGAGGAGACTGGAGGAAAAATTGGCAGATGCATTGCAGAGGATCGAGCAGAGATTGGCGGATTATATAAGCACTTGGACCGACAGTCGGCAGGCAAGAAATTCGGATTTCCTAAAGTGGTTCATGGACTTCAAAAATGAAAAGGATCCCTTTGAAAAACTAGATTTACTATATCAAAGTGATTTCCTTTGACTCTTAATACGAAGTGAGAAGCTATAAATATATTATAATACTTTTACTAACCTGTAATTTATACATTATTTGTTTTGCAAATTTGCTGCTTCCGGACACAATACTGAGACTTGTTTGCAACTAGTTTATCTGGAAATCATGGAGGGGCGGTAGCTGGTTATCAGCTTCAGGCTGGAAGGGGGGGACGACATTGAATCTGATGAACTGTGCTTTACTGGCACTATTTTATTTAATTTGGATTCTGCTGACTGTTTCTAAAATCAATTTGTACTTGAGTTAAAAGTTTCTACTCGAAACCCCTCCAAAGGGATCTCGGGAGTCGTAGACTTTATGCTGAATCCTTGGGGGTCCCCTGCCATCGGATGAGTAGCTGTAAGACTCGGTGCGGTGGAAGCTGTTAGATGAACTAATGGAACCGCTGGGCCCTGCGAAGTTATTAGACGATAGCGGAACTTGGATCTAGAATGAAAAAAATTAGTTGTTGTAGACAGTGAAAAGTATAAATTCTTACCGGCCTAGATACCCATGAGGGCGTGTCCTGAATGTCCTCAGCGGGATTAAAAATTGGTCTTATGTTGCTCCTCCTGGGAAAAGGTGGAGTACTAATTTCCGATTGTCCGAATCTGGGAACTGCCCGTTGGAAGCTCCTATCGAAGCTGGGCGACTAAAAAATAAGTTTTTTATTATGGAACACGATTATGTATTAATTTAACCAACAGGAATGGGAAATCCGGATGTCCTCCGAGAGCCTTGGCGGTACAAAGGTTGACTTTCCAATTCATCTTCCTCTTCTTCGTCGTTTTCTGCAGCTACAACTTCGACTCCTCCAGATGAACGCTGTAATAATAATAAATTACTACATTTATTTCACTTTTCATTGTAAATGTCACCTCTAGGAATTGAACGGGAGTATCTGAATCTTCCGATCCATTGTATAGTTGACCGGTTGAATTTCCTCTATTAGATCTCGCTAGCTCGTAGGCAGCATTATGGCCCACAGGCTTGAATAGTTCTGTGGGTATATCGGCAGTGTCGCGCACAATTCTCGCCTGAAAAAAAACACAAAATATTAATTACAAATTTAATTTGAAAACAACAAGTTTTCCGATGAAATTAAACAAATGCGTCTTACCCCCTGAGCAATGCACAGAAAGCCTATGAGCAGGGTCAAATTGCTAGCACGGAGCGGCAGCATCTCGTAGTCTCAACCTCCGGACGGTCGTCAGATGTATGACTTGACTTGGTGGAATGCGCTGCAATTATATGCGTCGCACTCAACCCGTCTGACTGGAATCGTTAGGTGAGAGCCGGGGTCCGCTGTTATCAGTCCGGGAAAACTCACGACTAAATAAATAGAAAATCAATACAATCATATAATATAATCAATAATCGCTCACACACTCATATTTCCTCTGAATATTTTAAGGAATTCAACTAAGCTAAAATTCCAATAAATATTTCAACAAAACACATCGTAGTATATAAAAACAAACATTTTATTAATTAAGCGTATTTGAATATTATTTATTTAAATAAAATTGATTTAACAACTGCAGCTTTATTCTAAGAGTATTAGTAACGTCCATAGCCATAGGATGAACCATAGCCGCCACCCGATCTCGGATAGCTGGGCACCGTGATTACTGGACGTCGGGGAACCAAGAAGACTGATGGATAGTCATAGCCCGGCGGCCTCAGTGGCCCATCCTCCGGCTTCTTCTCCTCCTCTTCCCCGGAGTGATCCGTGGCCTTATCCTCGGCAGAGTCTTCTTTGTGATTATGCTCTTCGGGGTATCCGAAGTGCGGAATTCGAGGGAATCCCTGGATGAGGGGTGGCTGATAAGAAGAGTACGGAGTTCTGAAGCTCGGATATGAGGGATTTCCACTCAACTCAGGCGACTTCTGCCCAGCTCCGTGAGTGGGGGAGGAAGACTCAGAGGCAGGCTTTGGTCCCGTTGCCGGATAGATTAGTTCAGGCTGACCATAGGGATGGGGGTGCCGCTGGGGATACGGGTATGGGTAGGGGTATGGGTGGGGATATGGATGAGGGTGTGGGTGCGAGTGTGGGTGGGAATAGGGGTGCGGCTCGTGTTTGTGGGGCTTTGGCGTTGTCGTAGTTGTAGTGGTAGAAGTGGTGGTCGTAGTGGTTGTGGTCTCTGGCTTCGGCGTAGTTGTGGACTCTGGAAGCGATGTTCCGCTAGAGAGCTGACCCAGGCCGTCATCCAGCTGACCCACTCCATCGGGAATAGCGGTGGCATTATTATCCGTCTCCAATGCAGGTTCTGTGGTGGTTTCGGGCTCAGGAGTGGTGGTTGTCTTCACGTGCTCATGGTGATAATGCGGCTCGTAGTGGGGCTTATAATGGGGAGGATAGTGCGGCTCCGGGTGGTGCATGTCATCACCCGTCTCCTCATCGCTGTAAACCGAGGTGTCGTCAATGAGCTTCTTAGCCTCTTCGACCGACAATTGGGCGAAGGCCAGCGCCAGCAGCTGAAATTAATCCAAGGCAAAGTCAAGATAAGTGATCTGTTATGGCCTGGTCAAGATCTCACACCCACCTGGCTGATCAATAATAGCTTGATGAACATCTCAATCTGCTGCTGCAACTACAAGTGCTTGGCGAGAACTGTTTGGTGTCGGCACGCCGGATCGGACTTATATAGTCCAGAATCGCCCACAAATATGGAAATCAGAAAGCCCACAATTACACTCGCCCCGGAGCAATCAGCTCGATCGCTGTCTCTCCCGAGAACGTGAACGAGATGGATTCAAAAAACCCGATCGCCATCAGGTGTTGGATGCGTCTGCCCGGAATTTCCCACCCTGCGTTCGTAATTATGAGATCGTTAGATCTGTCAGGGAATTCGCTCTGCTCGTAAAATCAGGCAATGACTCCGCCAATCAGTCTCCATGGCTGCGGTTGCTCTAATCGATTTGACGGGCGCAGCGACTATAAAAGGTGGCTTTGCCCAGTCGCTGCTTCTGGCTTCTGGGAGTGACGTCAACATGGCTATACTAAACTTGCAGCTGGTAAGGGCAGTTGGGGAATTTCTTCTCTAGTTTTGTATCTTTGTGTTTAAACTGCTTGCAGATTTCAGTAATTATTTTCTTGGTGGCGGCTCTGGAAGCCCAGGAAAGTCCTGCGACTGAGTCAGAAACAACCACCGAAGCCACAACCACCGAAGACACAACCACCGAAGCCACAACCACCGAAGCCACAACCACCGAAGCCACAGGTCCACCTGAACCAACTACTGATTCACCTGAACCAACTACTGATTCACCTGAAACAACAACTATCTGCTCCTCCTGCCCTGAGAACAGTACTACTCCAACCACCGACCCGCTTCCAAAAGCGATTAACTCTCTAGAGAACGGTGGATACCCTTTCGTTAAGCCAGGAAATCACACCACAGGGGTACGTCAGGTGAGAGCGCACGATGGGTTCCACAACCTCAGGTCGGAGAAGCAATGGGCCCACTGGAACGACGCCTTCACCACCACGCCCAAACTCTAAATCGATGTCTACCAAAATATGTATCATATTTTAAAGAGGGTAAAAATTAAATAAGAAACTAGTATGGATCGGTGAACACCCTTCCCCTGCTTCAGGGTCCAGCCACGACCAATTTAATTAGATGACACATTAGTGTTTTCAGATGTGGTGGAACAGCAAACGATTGTTTTTAATGCCATGATGCGGGTGGAATTCTGCTGCTGGGTAACAAATAATTCATTTGAAATTAAATGCAAAATTATTAGTACTTGAAACTTTTACCCAGAACCTGTTTTTATGGCTGCAGGCAGTCATCGCGATTGGAAAACTGCGTCACGCGATCGGTCACGATGGCTTTCACAACATTGAGAGGGAAAAGCGCTGGAGGAACTGGCCAGCACGTGTGCGATCCCATCATCGGCGTTACCATGAATAATGTTTAATCTTTAAACAATAAACAATACATTATGCATAAATATATTATTACTATAATAACAAGGTCGGAATGGCACTCAATTACAGAGTTATACCTGCAGAATAATGAGAAAAGAAAACCTTGTTAATCCAAATTCCAAGTTCAAACTTTTATACCTTGGGAATTTCTGAATTTAATTTTAAGCTTTGCTGCATTCTGCAGTCTCCTAGCAAGCATAAAGGTTATATATTTTTTAAATGAAACTATAAATGAAAGCAAAAAAAAGAGTTAAAATTGTAGTCCGTTTAATTGTTTTTCAATCAATGATTTTTGTACTTCAGAAAGTGTAAATGATGTGAGTGTTCTATTACAATATATTACATTACGACATGCATCATTCCGATTCCTAGCTCTGGTTTGATGTTATTAGTATGTCATGTTTGATGGATATTTTAAAGAATTGTAAATTCTAAAATGGGTTGTTTTCGTTGAAACGACGGCGCTCACGTTCACGAAACTCGCGGCGAGCCGCCGGCGGATTTCCTTGGGGATTGCGGATTATAAAATTCCTTTCACAATAGTCCTGCGGATCGTATGTCGGTGCCGGCGGCTCAGCATCCCAGTCCTCAGCAGAGTCCACACAGAAATTGGCAGGTTGCGACTCCGCTGGCGGCAACTTGACAGGATTCATAAAGTGGTGCAGCTTCGAGCGATCGGGACAGGTCTCGATGTGCGTCGTCATCTCGGCCACGGTATGGATATGGGTCGTATTAAGGGTGCATGACACTTGTTTACTAGAAGGATAATTGCGCGAACAGCGGATCAGATGCACTGCCAGACGGCTCGGAAGCAGGCGATGGGACTTATCGAATGGGCATTCCACCAGTTTTGTTTCCGGAACAATTTTTGAATCCATTATCAATAAATTCTCCGCTGCTCTTTCCGTTCTATAAATGCAGTCTATTAGTCTAGAAGGTCTACAAGCTCATATACTTTTGGTGGAAACCAGAAAACAATATTCTATAGCTGTCTAAATCGACAGTTTTTTATCTCACCTGATATGTGAAAAGACCAAACTCTATTTTATCTTTTTTCGAATTTGAAATTGAAGAAATTTCAATAAACAAAGAATAAAAATGTTTTACAAATATTTCGCCCTACAAATTAGAACTGAATTCCTCACCTTCCGTATCGCTTCTGACATTAGAACTGTGAGCAACTCGATTTCAACATTGAAATGCTATAGAATTCGTAGGGTTGTTGTTGATTTTGTTTCAATAAAAAATATTATTACAATTAACCTTAATCAAACCCTTAATCAACAACTTCAGCACCAGAGATCTAGCCGTATTCGCTAAGAAAAAAAAAATGCACCAGACGACTGGTTAAAATGAGAGTTACAATCTGTAGCAACACAATATTAAGAATAATATGACCTCCGATGGATGTGTTTATTCGACGAACATTTACTTGTATTTAAAATTAAAATGATGCCCGTGAGATACGGCTACAGTTATAGTTATTGTTATAGTTATAGTTAAAATTATAGTTACAGTTAGAGTTACAATTGAATCGCAAGAATGTCGGTATTAGCTAGTATACGCGTGACTGTGCGCCTTGAATGTGCATTAGTTAGTATGTACGTAATATGTATTAGTATCACTCTGGTGCAAAGCATTAACCCGGCCGTCAATCGTTGTCAGATTTCGTCGTCTTGTCCAGACACTCGGCGTCGCGACCCTAGCCAATGGTGGTGGACAGGTGCTTGGTGGAGCCGACGGAACCAGGCGCCGGACCGTCATTGGTCACGCAAGTGGGAATGGCACTGGACCACTTTCCGTTCTTGAGGCACTTGAGCACCTTGGAGCCGCGCAGATCGAGGCCGGCGTCACAGGTAAAGGTGATGCTTTCGCCGATCGCATAGTAGAACTTGACGGAGGACATCCGGCCGCTGATGACGGTGCCCGGGTAGGAGCAGGCCTGAACGCACTTGGGGAGGCCCCCAGACCAGCGCCCGTTATCCTGGCAGGCAATAATTGGCTGGCCCTGCATCATGTACTCCGGGTTGCAATTGAACTGGACCACATCGCCGGCACGGTAAGGTGCCGAGCCCTGGGCGTAACCGTTTTGCGGCGCCCCCGGGTTGTCGCACTGCACCTCCACGCAGGTGGGCAGCGGCGCTGACCATTCGCCCGTAGGATTGCATATGGCCTCCGAGGGGCCGCGCAGCCCATACCCGGAGGCGCACGAAAAGGCCGCCCGACCACCCACCTCGCGCGACAGCACGGAGACGCGCGGCGAGCTCGCGTTGTTCCCCAGCGGGATGTCGCCGCACTCGACGCTCTCGCAAACCGGCAACGGTGCGCTCCAATTGCCACTCGGCAGGCAAAACAGCTCCGAGGCGCCAATCAACGAGTTGCCGTTGGCGCAGGACAACAGCGCTCGTGTGCTTAGCTTGGTGTCGTTCGTGTTTACGATCAGGCCCCGCCGCATCGGGATCTCCGGGCAGTTGATCTCCTTCACCACAACCTCCACGGCATGCTCATGCCTTGCCGGCGTCATGCAGGAGTAAAAGCCGGTGTCGTCGCTGGCCGCATCAATGATGCTTAGGCGGTACTCCAGCGTTGAGTCGCGGCCCTCGTCCGCCTCCGTCACCCAGCCCTCTGTGTAGTTCCTGCAAGGCACACGGATTTTTATTAGAAAAACTACACGAAACATCGAAGACGTAGAGTCCTTTTCCTAAGACCCCCATATTTCTTTGACCTATTAAAGAATATATTTATAAGTAAGAGAGCCTTTGCCTAGTTTGCTGAAATGTAATTGGGAATTTTATAAAAGGATCCAATCTGAACCTCTTTGTTCACAACCCAAACAACCGATACCCACTTGTGCGTGTGACTGACGTTCCACTTGGGATTGCCGAAGCGTCGCATCCACAGACACTCCATGTGCAGCGTTGTGCCCGGATATACAATCAGCTTGCCATCGTTACTCTGGGCAATGGGTCCGTTCTGGTGGCGGAAAAGAATGGTGGGCGCCTTCTCCACTGCATTGGAAAGAGGGATTGGAGATTAGCAAGGACTTTTACTAATAATGATAGTATACCCACTTGCATAGTCGTTCTCCTGGTTGAGGCCCGAGCACACGGGCTTGGTGTTGGTCCACTCCGAGTGGATGCAGGTCCTTTCGTGGCTGCCCATCATCGAGAACTTGCCAATATCAACGCACCTGAGGGAGTAGTCAGAATAAAGCACTCTCTGGTAGTAGTAGATGGAGTGATCAAAACTCACCTAGATATAATTGTGGCTCCTGGTGGAAAGTCCACAACATCCTCGCGGATCTCTAAATCATTGTAAAAGCTGACAACATTGGCTTCGTTGTTCCTAAATACACACGTTCCATTTTCTGGATAAAGTTAAAATAGGAATAGTATGAATTGTGCAGCATTTTGGCGTAAAAAGTAAAGCTAAACTCACCGCAATTGTATGAACGTCCAATCCACAGTCCATTATCACAGATGATGCGCCATGTCTGCCGGTCCCCGGCCGCATTTGGAATGCAGTTGAAGAAGATCTCCGTTCCGCTCTCATAGGCTCCATCCAACTCCGGATGTTCAGGGTTCCTTTAGGTATTCAAAGAACTTAGACAAACTCAAGGCAGACAAAGCCATCACTCACTTGTAGACCAAGGCACCGTCCGTAAGACTCGGGGGTCCACACATCTTCATGTCGTCGTGCTCATCCGTACTGTTGTCGTGATGATCATGATCGTTGTCCAGTTCGTTGTGCTCGACCTTGGAATTGGGGGGATGTGGTGCAGGAGTGGTATGCTCCAGTTCCTCCCGGGATTTCCGCAATCCTGACTCGCAAGGAATACTGGGCGGGGTGAGAACGCCTTTATGGCACGACATTTCTATGGGATTGGCATTTGTGGAGGTTTCACAGCGAACGTTTACAGTGCTTCCATGGCCAATGGTTAGACCTGCTCGATAGCCTCCCTATCACATATGGAGCATTAAGTTTACTGATTGGGATATGGATAATTTGGATTTATCTGAATCTTACATCATAGATTACACCTGGAATATTGGGCAGCGTGCAGGGTACTGAAGTACACTCCGAAAAGGCATTCACCGACCAGGAGCCATGAGCACATCGCAGCTGAGCCGAGCCCTAAAATAAATAGAAAATATAAATAATATTTTCCGGAGTTTTGGTGCAAAGTCTCACCTGTATGTTGAAGCCATCCTCGCACTCCAGAGTGATGAACTCATTGGACTGGATCTCCTCGTAAGTAGACACCGGCGGCAGCGAAGGCTTATCGCTGAGCTGCTTCGTGTGCGATTCCACCTTGTAGTACTGGCCATGCTCTACGGCGGGCACCAAGCAAGGAGCGGACAGACACTTCGGCGTCTCCGGCTTCCAAATTCCCCGTATGCAGCGCGCCGTGGCATTCTCACCCTTGATATTGAGCTTGAAGCCGGCGTTGCACTCCAGTTGCAGCATGATGCCCACCGAATTTCGACCAGGTGCCTTGCCTGGACGTACGACAGTCACGTTGCCGAAGGAGTCCCAGTCCAGATCCTCGCAGGGACCCCGCAACCGCTTGCCATTCCCGCCCTTTCCAGCCTCCCCGCCGTCACTGCTGTCCACTTCCCCATCCGGAAGAGTGGCCACCGATGGCGGAGGTGCCTGTCCAATGCTGGAGCTGCGCTTGCGCCTTCGACGGACAATTTGAGACTTTAAGTGTTCTATGTAGGATTTAGTGGCGTTCACATTGAAGCTGCGCGATGTTTCCGGCGGCGAACCGTTGCCCAGGGGCGCTTCATTGGAACTACGGTCCACATGACCCAAGTGATTCCGGGAGACCTGGTTGATGTTGGGCAGGGGCACGACTCCACCTCCCACAGCACCGATGCCAGTGCGGTAATTGTTACCGACTTCGAAGTCCCTGAAGTTGGACTTGCCCCGCATCATCACCTGCCCTGCATCGTGATTATTGAGATTGTGACCCCTAGCGTCCTGGAAGTGCAGCTTCTCATAGATCCTGTCATGTCCGAGCATTTTGCGCACATATCGCTGATAGCGCTCCTTGATCTTCTGATAGTACTTGGAATAAGCCAAGTCCAGATCCGAGGGATGAGCATGCGGAACTGGATAGGGACTGGCACTGCGCTTCACGCGATGAACCACCTCCTGAGTGGGAGCGTTTACTATTGAAATACATTGACAAATATATGTAAGTTATTTACTGATACATCATCATTCATTCATCATTTACTGATTACCTGCTTGAAGATATTTTTGGTTCTCGACCAGAGCCCTTTGAAGCTGCCGCTGACGACGCAGAAGATACATGGATCTCAGCTGACGAATCTGCAGGGAGCGACGTCTGCGGCGATTCCAACGAAGACGAGGATGCTGTCCCAGCAGGCACTGGGGGAGATCCAGCGGACGCCACTTACCGCCCACACATGTGGCACCTGGCGGACCGACCTGAAGGATGAATAAAACGTGAAGAAAACATACAAGAGTAGTGCTTTTGGGGCTTACCTCCAGGACGTAACCCTTGTCGCAGTCGTACATGATTTGCTTGTTGTTAACAATCTTCTTCACATATGGCCGGTAATCGTAGAGTCCCATGTTGCCCACGAGCAGGACCTTGCCGTTGGGTATATAGCCCGGAAAGGAGCAAAATACCTCGTCGCACTTGGGCGTCTCTCCAGTCCAGTTTCCGAAAGAGCAGGTAAGCACATAGTCGTGCGGATCGGTAACATCTTTACCCTCAGGACTAACCAGCTTGAAGCCATCCTTGCACTTGAAACGCGCCTTCATGCCGTGCTCCGTCTTGGGGGCCATCACCATGCCGTGCTTTGGAGGACGAGGCATGCTCTTGCACCTGGCCGGAATGCAGCGAGGAATGATGCTCCAGGTGCCATTGTTGCAGGTTGGCGGACTAAGCAGCGAGACCGGAAACTCGTAGTTCTCATCGCATTTGACCTCCAGTGCGGTGCCGTGCTTAACCTTCTCCACCCCTCCCAGGCTCTGGGTCTGCGTTGGCGACTGCGTCGTGGTCGTTGGCGGATGAATGATCGTCGTTCCGTTCTCATCGGTAGTTATCTCGATGGGATATACATTGCCCTGTGAAATGGTGGGTACTACGCATGGAGCCAGGCACTCGGGCAGGGTGTTACGCCATCGTCCGTCG